TTCTTTGCATGATCTAAACCATATTTCACTTGGATTTATGCTCTTTCCTATTACTTTGTATAAGAACATGACTCTTTTTTTTCTCTGATAGTTATCTCTAACATTTTTCTGATATGTGCAGTCTATTTAATCTCTTTTTATCTGACTTCAGTCTTATATTTTTTTCTGTCTAGAGCTTGGGATTTTTAATTTCAGTTCTCTATTTTTATTTGTTCACCACTTCTTAAAACTTCATTGCTCTCTTAATCCCTTTTTAGGACTCAAAGCCCCAGGTCTGTTCACCTGCTATGCATGGTTAATTTGTCTGTCTTGAAAGGGCCATAAAGATGGCAAACAGATCATGTTAGTTGTTTAAGCACAGTCCCCAAGACTGCTGAAACCAATGGGAGGATTCACTTCAGCTCCACAGTGAACACTGTCTGTAGAAGCTTTCAAATATGTTTGGCATGAAAATATTTATTAGACATCCTGCTTTGCAGAAACTACTAAATATACGTTTAATTGAGATTTCAGACTTATAGTATATAGGTAAATAAAGGCATTAAACTGCTTAATATAGTTGGAATAATAATATTAATAAAGATTTTGATGCTGCCAGGATCATCAGTCTTGGTCCACTGAAGAACTCTGTCACATCCTACTTTTTAACCATGAGTCCTTATAATGCATTTCAGAGAGTTGCCTATATCCTTTAAACTAAATAAATGCATAAGTGTGTTTCTGGATTAGAGACAGAGGACTCAGCAGCTTGGAAGATTAATTTTTTTAAAAAAATTTTAAAAAGCAATACTGGCAGAGACAGGCTTGCTGTGTTTAATCATAAGTGTTAAAACAAGGCTGATTTCACTTTGGATTGAAGAATCCAATCCTGCTCAATTCTTTGGTAATTTGTGGTGAAGAGAGATTTCCATCCACCAACTGTGGATTATCTGACTACCAATTTTACTATTTGGAAATCCACTTTAACTGCATAATAGTAAACGCAATCCTGCATTATTTAAGTGGTTTAACATTATTAACATTATTATTAACATGGATTATTTAACTGGTTGTGTTTCTGATGTATTACAGTCTCTATCAACTATTCTGCAGTTTCTAAATAGAAAAAAAAGACAAATTACCACTTTTTCTTTTTTTTTTTCCACAGAAGTTTGTCCTAAATCATAATCCTATCCATTTATGCCAGGATCATGGCTTAGTTTATCTTAGTTATGCCATTCACCTCCCTGAAAGCCCCTTATAAGGACTCTTGGTAATAAACCCCAAAGTGCTCTGCTTTCAATAAGTTTTAGGTCTGAGATACTTGATTAACTTATTTATATCAGATGAAAATCTATGTGCATCTCTAAGCTGCTTCCTGCAGTTTAGAGTATGTCTACAAATAGATATTGCAGCTCAGCTCACAATCCATGACTTCATTGCTCCTTGGGTACTAACATTTATAAACTGAAAATTTCCTACTCTGAAACTGAAGTTAAATGGCAAATTCTTCAGGTTCTTAGAAATCTCTTTATAAGCAATCTGTTTCTGAAGAATAATTAAAAAAAAAAATCAATACTTGTCTTTGTAAACTGAAAAACTGAAAGAAGTATTTAAATATGTGAAAAAGAATAAAGCACATCCTGTGTATGTTTTATGGTCTCTGTTAGGTACCTCAGGATGAATGGGGAGGATACCCAGCTGGTGGGAAAGATGAAGAGATCCCGTGCAGAAGAATGAGAAGTGGGAGCTATATTAAGGCCATGGGAGATGAAGAAAGTGGAGATTCTGATACTAGCCCCAAGACATCGCCAAAATTAACAGTTCGGCCGGAGTCATTATTAAAATCCATTGGGCAAAGACCACTTGGAGATCATCAAAAGTAAGCTTCACTACACCTTTCTGGAAGGTGTCATGACTTGGATAACTTTTCTTTGTGTCTTATGGGCAATGGTCAGCTTCCATAGGAAAAAAATATCCACAGTGTAAAAGGTTATTTTTTGGCTTCATTTTAACTTAGCTACAGTTTCTTGTGGTTACTGGATGAAAGCCTGTCATCTTCTTCCATCTGTGAAATAAACCTTCTATTTCTGAATGAGTTTCTCATGTTTGCTGAAGGAAATATATACATATTTTATGCCAAAAGTTCAAAGTTCTGATTTTTTTTTCTTGTCTAGAAGAATTGGTTTATATTATAATTTTTTGTTATTTTATTGCTTTCTCTGAAATAGAAAATATACTCTATTATATACTAAATATAACATTAAATATATAATTGTACCATATTTTGGGTATTTTACACCTTTTTTATCAGTGTAATGCTTTACGTATCAGCTATACCGTATCACAGTCATTTAAACACATTGTGGAGGATTTTGTCTGACTGGGTTATTTTTCATTCATATTACCATTCATGCTACCTACAATGTGTCCTATTCAATAACTAAAGCAAATCTTAAAACTACACTAAATCTAAAAATCTTAGAAATACACAGCTATATATGTTTTCCAGTAGATCTTCATTTTCCTCTCCTTTTTATCTTTTCAATATATCATTTTATAAGTAAACTGTAAATATACTTGTCAGGGGAGTTTCAAAGCGGTAGCCTAATTTAGAATTTTCAGATTCTATTAATGCAACTGGCTGTTTCTCATGGCTTTTTGCTGGAATACAGACTGAAAAAATTAAGAGTGAAACCTTTGACCAAGTGTTGTTTATTGTTCTGTAGGTAATACCATATGGTTTACTGCAGTGACTCACCTTTTATTTAATAAAATAAAACAAAACAAAAACCCTAGGCAAAAATCCTTTTGGCTTAATTAAATTGAATTATTTACCTTGCTATCTGCAAGAAAGCCACCAACTTTCACTATTATTGAAGAGTTTGTGCTGTCCCAGCCATTGCCTGGCTGGGTTCTGGGCACTGGTGTAGGCCAGGGATCATTCCCAGACACTTTGGTTGCAGTCATCCCAGTTTTGGAGGGTATGACTTACCTCATTTGTGCCAAACTGAATTATTTTCTTAGACATTGTTCTAACGTTCCAAGCACTTAGACCAAATAAAATACATTCTATGCTGTTCTTTGTTTCCAGCTATGGCTGGGCCTCCCACAAGGGAATCTGGGTAGCAGCACGAATTTTCTGGTGTGTGACAGGTCTTGGTGCCAACAGCTTATAAACAGGTTCAGACAGCAACTAAACATAACTAAACATACATATTCAAATAAGGAACGTATTTCAAGGAAGTATTCCTGATTTTGTTAAATCCTGAAGGCAGGTGGTTATTAGTAGACCAGTACCAAATGTTTTGTCTTCTGTTGGTTTTCCATGTATTGCAAACACACCACTCAAAATTTAGTTGATTAAAGCACGGGTGCACTGCTGATTCATGTACTGGGGTTGACAGCTGTGCTTGTTCATGGCCCCAGAGGATTTCATGGCATAGTTACCACTAACCAGTTAGATAGGGAGGAAGCTTTTCTGTAACACTGTGAAATATTATTAGGTGTTCTGTTGAAAATTTGTCACTAGCACCGGACTAAGAATAATTGAGCAGCCAGGCTGCTCCTGCTGACAGATATCTTTTAAGTCCTCAGTTTTTTTCCTTAAGCTGAAGTGCAACACCTTGAATCTGCCAGCCTAGCATTCATGGGTTTTTCCAGTGAACTTCAAGCAGAAATGTGACAACTATTCTGGTTCTAGTAAGCCATTCTTGCAAAAATCTACAGATTTCAGCAATCCTAAGGCAGACAGAAAATTTCTTGCTGCACAGAAAAACTAAGTTACAAGCCCAGCACCATTTGTACCACTCATCATGCTGCTGAACCAGAAGACAGGGCTTTGAACAGCATTCCTTCATGTGTAGCAGGGCTGAATATAATTTCTGGCATGTGTTACGAGAAATTACATAATTCAAGATGTCAGCTGCATTATCTGGCTTTTCAGCTTGTTTACCCAGATGCAGGGAGCTAGTGCACAGAAATAAAATGGGGGCTTAATTCTCTTAGTCCTCTGCTTGGGTGACAGGGTAGCTCAAACTGGGGTCTGCCAGAGCACAAATACACTTGCAATAAAAGCTGAATATTGATAGTTTTGGCAGCAGTATAAAAATATTTATTGGCTGCAAAACAAAAGTAGATGGATTTCATAAGAAAAAGCCTAGTTTTCCATCACTATCCTGAATATGATAAAATGAAAATTAGAACAGCCTTCAGTTAACCTTCAACAGATGTTTGACATGTGTGTGTTTCTCCTCTGAGTATTATTAGGCATCTTTGCAAGGTCTTTTTTCCCCATTTAAATTCTGTTTATGCCTCAACAAAAGTAAACCCTGTTTTACTTTTTTTATTTTATTTGGTTTGTGTTGCTCAAAGATTCAGCAAATTGAATATTAAAAGTTTCTAAACAATAAAAATGCATATTTGCACCTGAATAAATAAATACAAATAGATAAATGTAAATGATATAATAGAAGCATTAAAATTCTGAAATAATATCTTTTAGGTAGCTTTTGGAAGGGAGCATATTTTAGTCTGAGCTGGGGAGTGGGGAAGTGGAAGTGCATAGTCTGTCAGTGCTGGTTTATAAAGCTGACAAAAGCAGGTCATACACTCCACCACCTCCAGCCTAGGCCACCTGTGTCACCACTGCACACTGCCAAGGCATGGTTCAGGGACCTGCTCTGTTGGATGCAGCCACTCCCACTGTAGGATAAGAAAGCTTGGACAAAGGGTCAGGTAATGGACCTGGATTATTTCCTAGTATAGCTATAGCATAAGGGGGCTCAATTTTTTTCTGGACTTTTCAAAAATTAAATGCACCTAGATATCTAGATGGCTCACTGAAGATAAATGAATTTAAATTCTTTCTTTATGTTTCAAAAACCAAAATAGTATGTTGCATTACTTAGTCCAATAACATCAAGTTGAAGGCCAGTGTAATTTATTAGAATTATTAGGAAATTGCATTTGAGCAAATTATAATGCAATCAGACTTGCTGAGAGGGAGACAGGACACATACCTGAATCTGCTTCCTTTCAACTTTTTGTTTTCTTGGAATGGTGCCAGAAGTCCTATTTAATGTGCAAATTATGTTGACTCCCAGTAGCCCTGTGGAAAAAAAAAAGTTAATTTTTATATATATTTTTAATTATTTTTCACTATTGATAATACAAAATTGTTCAGATGTCAGTTTTGCTATACTAGAAGTGAAATGCAAGCCCTATTCAGTCCATTGTTTTCTGCTGCACTGTGATGCTTCTGATGATGAAGTTAAACTGTGTTGGAAGGCAGTAGTTTGTAAATAAACTGCTAGGCATTTTCACTTACATTAAAGATCAAAACAACTGAACAGTTTATGGAATGGATAGCTGAAACAAAGAGAGTGTCTGTCCCTGTCCTAAATAAGTTCTGTGCAATCCTGGAAGAGGGACTGACCCCCATGATTTGTAAGAATATCCTTCCAACCTCGTAAATGCTATTTTTCTGTATTTATGACAAAACCAAGCAAAGCTGAGATGGAAGCAACAGAGGCACTGTGATTCAGAAAACAAAGCTGAAAATAAAACAAGAATTTTGTACTCTGAAATAGGAGAGCAATTCTGAAAAACTGAAGATAATACAGTTATTTGATGCTTTTTATTTTCAGTGGAAAAGTACTTAATATACTGATTATGTAAATGAACAGAATAATACTGTAGAAATAGCAAATTCCATTTTCAGTATCTCCTTTTTGAAGTGTTGTGAAAGACTCTGAAAACCATCTCACCATTTAGTCAAAAGTGATAACAATAGCATTTAGCCCAAAGTAAATATGCTCTATTTGAAGATCATACTGGTATCACTCACACAAATGAGGAGTCATGCTGTGCTGAAGTTTTCCATTATGCTCTGAAGTGACTCACAGGAAACTATGAAGATGAAATAGGTTAAACTACAGTAAAATAAATTCAATGACAGCAATATGTACTTTTGTTTTGTAAACCTCGAATGGCAGACTTTTCTGTTTCTGGTAGTCCAGACACCTTAAGCTTATGGGTGGGCAGACAGAAAGACATGTGAGCACAGAGGTGGTACAAAAATGTAGTGTTTCAATGAGGGAGGAAATCTGCCATTGTACAAATTATTTGGCAAACTACCACAGTACAATACCAGTGATACTTCAAGTTGTCTTGACAACCCAAGATTAAGTTTTTTGCTTAATCCTCTGCCAGATTTTGGCCACTGTATGAAATGAGTATCTTAAATTATGAATCACTCTCACAGAGAGAGAGCATCTGTGCCTTCCTCAGATGTTAAACATCTTTGTTTTGTAGGTTGTTTACACCCATAGCACACCTGAAGAGCATGATGCATGTCCATATTTCAGCCCCTCTTACTCACAGTTCGGTACCTCAACACAAAGCACTTTATTCAGTATTGTAAGCTAATATGTCTAAAACCTGAAATGGTTGTCATGTTTTCTGGGTTTATAGTAAGCCAGAGCAAAAGAATGACCTTTCACTGCTCTTCCTCTTTTTTAGAGTGAGAGATTGCATCCATCCATGGCCACACTAGCTTAATGCTTATCTGGACTGTTATCCAAGGCATGTCCACATGTTCTGTTTTGCAGACTTTATTATGGAATCAAAAGTCTTGTCAAAGCACACAGCAAGGGGATTAAACCACAACCAGATCTGACAGCACTTAGCTGCCAGACCCCTTGGCTCAGCAGGAATCATGGAACAACACAGGCTCCTCTAAGACATATGGGAAATCTCCAATAAAAATAATAAAAAATAATAATAATAATAATAAAAAAAAAATCCATTTGCAACCATTTGTGCTAACCATAACATGCTTACAACATGAGAAAGTTAAAGCCAGAAGAGAAGTTTGGAAGCAATGCATAAGACCAATCCTGTGGGTTTTCATCCATCTTTGCCCATGACAGTGAAGACTCCATTATTCTTTAGTGCCAAACAAATTTGTGTGTATTTCTTCTGAGACACACCCCCTGGCAAGCATACCCAGAAAAGACTTTGAGTAAATGTGCACATGAGGAAGTGGGTGTGCTGCAGAAATGTCACAGATTGAGAGCTGAAGCACACCTTCCTTGCTAGAGAAATTAATGTCCTCTTTCAACATTATCCATTGCTGTGCATCAGTGATCCAAGCCTCTTTTAATTTTTAAGGTAAACTACAATTTGCCATTAACTCTTCTACATTTTAAATTAGGAATGGTTTTTAAGCCACTCCTGAGAAATATTCTGAATAGCAGAGATGAGGAAAATCACTAGAATAGAAACCCTCATCTTTTATATTCTTTTTATTTATCTTTGGGTTTTTTCCCCTCAATCTTTTGACTCTAAAAAGCCTCATTACACACTTCATTAGTAGCTTTCTGAGGCCCTGTAGTGTAGTAGCATCTACTCAGAGTCTCTGAGGGGTGAAATTGGAGATTTACTGAGGAGAGTTTGAGGGCTAATTACAAAGCCTTATCAACTAATAATGTAATCAGAGGGCCACTGGCATGGTGATAGTCTTTGCTGCAGTCAATAAGATCTGGGTTACATTAGGCTGCAGGGTTAAGAAGGAATGCTGATGAAGGGCAGACAGTCATCTGGCTACCTAGGAAACATCTTTTGTGGGGTCCTAAGACATCCCCATCATTTCTTCCTTTGCAGAATAATAGCAAATGCTCTTAAGCAATGTTAGGAATCTTGTTCTCTGAGAAGTAGCACAGTGTGAAACACAGAGAGTCACTGAGCCCAGTTCTCCTGCCTCATTTTTGTAAATACCAGCTTTATGTTGTAGGGCTGAAATGTATTACTCTGGATTAGGGATGAAACGGGGATCCTAAGGCTATAAACAAAGTCCAGAGTCTTTTCAGGAATAAAGCAGGTTTTTCTCAGAAAAATGCAATTACATGACGGATTGTGTTGAAAATGCAGTAAAATTCAGGTCAATACAACAAGTATGAATAGTGACATTCAAGGGAAAACATGCTTCTGGTTTTTGGTGTCTATTTGCTCCTGCTTCCAACAAATATGTTAGTTTTACTTTTCATTTGAAAGGGATCAAAATCTGATTTTCTCATTTGTTTAGTTTTCAATATAAACTAAATAGGACTATAAAGGATGTGTACAGAAACATTTCTTCAGGAAAGGATTTGAAAATTAAGATGCTTTTGGTTAAAAAAACAGAAATTATATTTATATTTATATACATATACATATTCACTTTTCCCAATTCTACTCAATTGCTTCTCCAGAAATCTTCAACTTCAGCATGAAGGTCACTTATTTTCTTTAGATCTACTGGTTTTAATGGACTTACATGTGTGTTTAAATTAAGCTCATGTTCAGATGCTTTAATGAGTCCTAATAGCCCATAGTCTACACTTGTTCTACCCAGTTAGGACTTTTTGCATGTGTACATGTATATGCACCAAAAGCAAAAAGAAAAAAAAGTGAGACAGCTTCCTGAAGAAATTAATGAATATTTCAATTCCACAAATGGATTTAGGAACACATATCCAACATTTGAGTACTGCTTATATCCACAGACCCATTTCCTGAACTGCTATATGATGCTTTAAATGCTCTTTAAGTTTTTGACATAGCATCCACCTGAATTTTGTTGAGGCTGACCAGCTTGTTGCCTGCTTGGCAGGGCAAGATCAAAATACTATATTGGAACAAGACTTTTAGAATTAACTATAGATTAGCTATATGTGTAAATCTGTCACCTTTTAGAAAGTTTAGAGTTTAGATTTCTCATATCCTACTTTTCTATTACATGCACATTTTGAGTCATTTGGAATACAGGCTTGATTGAGCCTACATCCTCTCTGTCTTTGCAAGGAGTGATCAAATCACCAGACTGTTTAACGATTCTGATGATTTCCTCTCATTCTCTTCTGGTTCATGTTGTTCCAAATCCCTAAACACTTACTGACAGTAAGAGTTCTGTCCTACCAGTGATTAGCAGGCATTTCATAAGGATAGAAACAGCAGTCTCCACCTCTTTCCTAGAATATTCCTGTAATAAATCAAATGTTAAGTATCTTTCAGGCACACTTTTTTAAAAAGTACCGGTCAATTATGAACTATCTAGGCATCTAAATAATTACATTTGTCCCAAATTCTCATATCTACCAGTGATCAAAGAGAAGATTCAGACTGGCAAATATTAGAAAAATAATTCTTTGCTACAGATATATTTATGAGATTTATGTGCACTTTCTGTTTTCTAAAGAGCCAAGCTAAATGTGCTATTCGAAAGGAGAATCAGACTTAATGTCTACACTCTTGAGTTCTCCAATGGGCTGCATGCAGGCACATCTGGGCCCCTTTGCAGAGCTCTATTGACTCCAGCAGGACTCCATGGAGATACAGCGTGACTCGCAGCTGCTGTACAATGGCACTGCTGGCTAAGCTTAATCATTAGAGTCTGGTCCATGGGTTATTTCATATATCTAGAAAGACATAGTTAAGATAGATCCAGATAGAGAAATGAATATCCATTGAAATGCAAATGTCTCAATAAAATAGGTTTTGATAACTGCTGCTACTTTGGTAATTCTAATGCACCTCCCTTTTAGGCACCCAAGAGGAATACTTTTACAAATTTTATCTTTTTGTCCCAGAAAGATACTTCTGAATTGCATATACTGATTTGAACAGAAGTGATTGTACTTTCTTTAATGTTCCTATTCATTCTCACATTTTTGCACAAATGCAGGCATGATCATGAAAATAAAAAGATATGATTTTAGAATATGGCAATTCCAAAAATTAATTTGATGGAACATGAACTTTCTTTATATTGGATGCTCCCTGAATTAAGATGATAAACCCATTCAGAGTCAGAAGGTGACCTTCTTGCTGCAACTTGTAGAGGCCTCAGAAGATGTTAATTCACTCTTGGTGCCTTCTTGACCCAGAGTGCACTGGTGGCTGAACATTTGACAGAGGAGAGCCACTCTGGGGAGTGATCACTATTTTGAATGTCAGTAGATCAAGGAATGACCTTGGCAAGTATATTTCTGGCATCAGAATCATACTGTTTTATAATCAATCATACTGTTTTATACAATAGTATTAGGTTTATGACAAAGTATG